TTATCATTCCCTGGGAAAGCAGAACAGACATAAGAGCATGCTCCAGAAGGAGACCAGGCACACAATCATAGGGACTAAGAGACAAAGGAAGGGAGGGGCTGGGAAGCCTTCCTGAGAGCAAGAAACTACAACCTAGAAACACATATTGGATTTTCAGGAAGCAAAACCCCTCTAAACCCTCCTTCTCTTCCCTTGACCAAGGTGAGGTTGCTAGAAACATGGCAAAACTTTCCCATAGATCTCCCCTAGGTTAAACTCTTAAGGAGTTTTATTGGTTTCTTGAGAAGGGAGGTGTCACAGGCCACAACCTGTGATGATTAGGTGAGAGAGCACACTCTGAAAAATAATACACTGTAGTTAGTTGTAGGTCAGCATCTCTCTGGGAGATTTAAGATTCTATCTGTGTATCCCCGCCAGCACCTAGTAAAACTATAAATAGCAGGCATTCAGTGAAGGTGTGTGGATTAGATAAATGGTTGAATAAAAGATTCATTTCTTTTTAGGAAATCCGGAAATTAGGAGTCAATCTTCCAGTGAGCAGAAAGAACACAATGTACTTATAATACTCGACTTATTTAAGTAGGATTGACTTGGAGCTGCTCATTCAGCCATTGCAGCCAGTGAGATAATAATGATAATAATGGCCAACATTTACTGAGGAATTACGGGGTGCTTTATGAAAACAAGTATTTCAGGACAGATTGATTATTTTAACAGTTCTAGAGTCTCAGTAATTTTAACCATAATCTATAGCAAGTTGGACAAGGGGAGAGGTCTTGAAGAGTGCTAATGCTCTGCACATTCAGGAACCCAGGCTCCTTCCACATAGAGGCTCTGCCTTCCCCAGGCCTGGAGTTCTCTCCTGACTCCTGTGTGTCCACCCAACAGATGTGAAAAGAGGGTGTAGTGGATCACAAGGAAGATTTTAGGGATAATTCTTAGACTATTAAAAATATATCAGTTCCACCTACATTCCATTGACCAGAACTCAATCACAGAGTCTTATCTAGATTCCAGGAGGCTGAGAAATGTTGATATGCTCCTCCCCACCCCAACAAAGAAGAGAACAAATTTGTGACATATCTAGCAAGTTTCCGCCACAGTGTATTAACTCATTTAATTCTCAGAACAACCTGATAAAGCAGATACTATTATCCCATCTCATAGATGAGAAAACTGAGTTCAAAGATTAAAGCAATTCCCAATGTCAAACACTTAGTAGATGACGGAATTGGGTGTTCTAGACTAACTAAGCTATGCCTTTTTAAAATTGAAGTTCAATATGTTGCCTCATTCCTGTTAATTTCACCACAGAGATCCTGATCAGGAAAGCCTAATTTTGCCTTTCCTTGATCTAAACTGCTTATAATACTTAGTCATTTGGCATCCTAGTATAGATTATCTTATCTATTCCTCATTGCACTCCCACATGGTAGGTATTATTAGCTCCACTTTACCAAAGAGGAAATTGAGATTAGATATGTTAGATAATTTGGCCACAACCAACAGCTAATGAGAGGCACATTTAAATACAGTTGAACATTATACTGCAAATTGCTCTCTGGCCTGGAACTTTGGAAGACCTTTTCCTAAATTTTTAAAAAATGACACACACACACACACACACAAACACACACACACACACATCTTAAAAAATGCAACAAACGCTTTTCCCATGGAACATCCTAGAGTGCTTGGTATCAGAAGGTCATTGTCCTCAATATTGTGGTCACCAAGTTCAAACTGGCTCCTTACATTTCGGGTGATCAAGAACATTTAGCAGCCTCTGACCTTATTAACTATGATTAGATTGTCTTATTAATGTTTGAAGAAGTTCTTCCCAGCTGAAACAATCCAGAAAATGAAGAATCAGAGAAATAATAAGACATACAAAGCTAGAGAAAAACTCCAGACTCAACTAAGGGTGGTCTCTCCAGGCCAAGAGCTTTCTTCATGGTTGGATCACTGGGTGGGGACATGGAAGCAGCAGCTAAAGCAGGCTTTGTATGCTGGGCTGTTTCTTTCCTCTCTCACACTTCTCCCCAGTGTGACTTGGCCCTGTTTCCCCCTGAGACATTAGCTCAGGGAGCTTGTGCCTTTATCCAACCCTCACCAGGCCCTCAGGTGCCATCAGAGGGCAGGCACTGGTCCCTGAGGAGAGAAAACAGAAAGGGAATCTAACTAAAACTGCTGCATTGTAAAGAAAGATCATAACAGCAGTGTGATCTGAGGACTTGGGAAAATTGGGCAAATAAAAGGAAAAAATAGTAAATTGCAAATTTGGGGGCATTTGACTTTTTATCTTTTTTAAAAATATTTATTTATTTATTTTTAGGTGTAAATGGACACAACACAATGCCTTTATTTTTATGTGGTGCTGAGAATCGAACCCGGGTCCAGTTTGTGCTAGGCAAGCGCTCCACCGCTGAGCCACAACCCCAGCCCCGACTTTTTATCTTTAGTTATGCAAACTGCACAGGTCATGGAAGCACATTCTAGAGTTAGAGCCCGTGGGACGCCAGCTTCTTGCCTTCCCTACTATCCAAGACTGGATTTCTTTCTCTTAACCATAGATTCAGATCCTCATTCCTGAGGAATCCTTCACCCACATCATACAACCTCATGAGATAAGACCAACCTTCACGAAATCAACTGCCAATCACAGTGATGGTCGATGACAGCATAAACAATCTTTTCCACTGGAACATTTAAAATCATCTATCTTATACCCAATGCATTAGTCCATTATCCATTGCTATAACAAAATACTGAGGCTAGATACTTTATAAGAACAGAAGAGATTCAAGTCCAAACAGCATTGCACCAGCCCTGACGAGGGCCCTTCTGTTTCACATCATAGTGGATGTGTCATGAAGAGATCACATACTGAGGCGGGGGAGTCAGTCTTGCTCTCTTATAATGACCCTCTCATGAGCATTAGCTGGAATCCCATAAGAACTACGGTAATCCTGTTGTGGGATTAATGGCCTCCACTAGGCTCTGCCTGTAAAAGTTTCCACCATCACTCACTTTGCCACCCTGGGGACCAAGCTTCCAACACATGAGCCTTTAGGGAACATTCAGACCATATCCAAACCATAACACCCAGTGAAGTCCCTGAGGCCAGATGGGACACAGTACCAGTTAGTGAAGACCCGGTCTCTAGCCTTCAAGATTGAGAGTCTAATAGAACACACTTGTATGCAATGCCATCTGTGTGAAATTTTTATAAATCTGCTCTAATCTTTATAAAAAATTAAAATCCTACTAAGATGTCTAGGTCAAGCCCCCCTACCCCATAGTGCTCCTCACTAGGGCCCTGAGAAGCTGGTGCTGTCTTTCTCTGTACATAAGGTGAACTACAGTCTTTGCTCTCCCTTTCAAGCTCTTCCAGGACTCTGGGCTTTGTAATTTCCCACTTCTCTCAGTCTGCACTGAGCTTATTTGCCACCCACCTAAGGAGTCTGTCTTGGGTCCTAATTCCCATAGCAATGAACTCAGCTTCCTCTCCTCCTCTGTATCTTCCTCATGCTCTGCCGAGGATCTACGATTCCTGTGTTTACTGGCCTTCTGTGGCCTTTCCCCATTTTAAATTCTCCTAATGGACAGAAAAATATCCTTAATCCACACCATGAAAAGTTTTCAGAATAAGAATGGGTCACAGATGACCTCACCAGCCAGCCTCCCTGCCCTCTTCCCCTTCTATTCTGCCCTCTTCACCCTCACTGGGCTCTGTTTTGTTCTTTAGAAAACACTAATTTCTCTCTTGCTTTGTGGTCTTTGACATGCCATTTCCTCTGACAGAATCTTACTCTACAAGGCAATCTTTCACTCCCACTATCTCCTAGTAAACTCCACTTTATCCTTCAAAATTCAGTTTAGGCATTACTTCCTCTAGGTAACCTTCCCTGATCCCCCTAATTAGGTTAGATCCCTGCACTAAATGCTCTCAGGTAACCCTGTACTTTCCTTTTGTATCCATTATCATACCTGTGAGCATATGATTATTTTAAAAATGGTAACTATTGTCCACGTCCTAAATAGACTCCAGCTTGCCTGAGTCCACAAGCCACGGACTGAAGCTGCATACACAAACATTCTAAATCTGCTCTCCAGACAGTTAGCTGATACTACTTTGTCATGCAATTATTTGTGTATATGTGGAAGCACACACTAGGAACATAAATCCCATTATGCTAGATCCCCTGCAGTGATGGACATATAATAAATGTTCATAGAATAATGCATAGAGAGATGGATGTCAATGAAGCTCTCATAAAAGGGAGAGGTGTCGGCTTGGCAGTGAATTTTTGAGAACAGATATACAACATGGCAAGTGTGGAAGGGTACAGCTACCTATTATTTCCCTCACTTCTGTGTTTTTGTTTCTCCTTCCCAGGAGGCACTATATTAGTGCATCCTCTTCTAGCTACTAAAAAAAAAAAAAAACTGTGTTCATTTTCTATTGCTGTGTAACAAATTCCCACAGGGAGCCTAAAACAATACACATTTATTATCTCACAACTTTTGTGATCCAGGAGTGCGGGCACAGCTTAGCTGGGTCTTCTGCTGAATGGTACAATCAAAGCATTACCAAGAGTGGGGTCTTGTTAGAGTCTTGGCTAGGGAAGGATCTGTTTTCACGCTTCCTCAGACTGTTGTCAGTAGTTATTTCCTTGCAGAGGTAGGTTTCATGATAGCTTAACTTTTCAAAGTAAGATTTGAGAGGGGAGAGGAAAGGAGAAAGAGGTTCTAGCCAGCTGATTGCTACATTCTCTTGTAATTACATGCACATAA